CAGGTGTAATGTGAGACTTACCTAATTATTGTAAAGTGTTTTACTGTACTTGGAGGAAAGCTTGAAAGTTCAAATTCACCTGACCAGGTGAGACAAGTACAATTGCGGCTTCCATTATGTGACCAGTGAACTTAAACAGCTTTAGAGGGGTAGTAGCCGAGTTAGTTTGTACAGGATAAACTTAAAAAAACAACAAATGGTCTGGTAGCACTTCAAAAACTAACAAAACATGTAGATGATATCATGAGCTTTTGGGGGCACACACTGAAGAAGGGGGCTGTGCCCATGAAAGCTCATGATACCATCTACATGATTTGTTAGTCTTTAAAGCTCTACCAGACTATTTGTTGTTTTTTAAGTTTAAACAACTTTGCCCCTTTCTTACCCAGAGGTCTGCTCATTGACTAAGCTGGTACTTTGTTCCTTGTTTACAGTCATCCCATTAGCTGATTACTATATTATTGCTGGAGTGATTTATCAGGCACCTGATTTGGGATCTGTCATAAACTCCAGAGTGGTAAGTGTTTCTACTATGCATTTGTTTGATATAAAGCAGTCGTCATTTCGTATCTGTTTTTCTTTACTTTGTTCCCCCAACACAATTCAAGATCTGTTTTTGATCTGTTCTCCATTTTGGGAAAAGGATCTGTGTCATAAAATAAGATGACAAATCCAGTTTTTTAAAACTACAATTTGTTGGATCCCCTTTCTTCCCTTTCAGCCCCCTCCCTTTCTTCAATGTCTCTTCTGTCTTCCTTTTTTCTTTCCATTTAGCTGATCCCTTCTGAATAATTCCTCCCTCCCTCCCCCCAAAAAATTGAATTTTGGAACTAACATGCTGTTAGCTGCCATCACACTAATCACTCTGCTCTGCTTATATGTTCCAGCTCTTCCTCTGCCCTGAATCTGTGCAGACCTTAAGTACTTCAGGGAAGGGACTGTCTTCTGCCCTGAATCTGTGCAGACCTTAAGTACTTCAGGGCAGGGACTGTCTCCTAATTAATTAATTAATTAATTAATTCTTTCTTTCTTTCTTTCTTTCTTTCACACACACACACACACACACACACTCCGTTTAACATGCTGGGCCTAGTGTTCCCTGTAAGCTGTGCACTTGTGCAACCACTCAGGAGAAATTTGAGTACTGCCCAACTGATTAGCAGAGCATCCACAGCTAGGTTTTTTATTTCTACTGGTGGTGCACATTCATATATGCCTCTGTACACATACAAAAATTATTCTTCATGTGCATGGGAAAAAACCACACATGGATGGAAAATATTAGAGAATATTGCTTGGGCCCGATTCTTGGATGGCTCTTAGCTACTAGTGCAATAATTTACTACAAGTAAAAAAATGCATTGTATACCAAGTACCTACAGTTGCAATGCAAGTGGAGTGTTCCCAGCAGCGTGTAGTGTACCTTAATAGATCTGTCAGGATGGCCTGATGGAAGAATCTTAATGGCTGAAAAAGGAGGGAAATATTAAATTTTAAACCACTCAAAGGGACAATGTCAGGCTAAAAAATATTAAAGAAATCTTTTAATCTAAATTGTTAATTATATTGAAAGATATTAAAATGGGATTTGCATTTTACTTCTGGTGCTGTTGGCACTTTTATCATCTTGGATACTAAAACTAGAATTGTCACTTTCACTTTCTGCTTTTGGTGCCCTATTATACTTGTATTAGGATAGAAATACGTTTGCAAACTGTCCTCAACAATCACAAAAATATTTCTATTAATACCAAGGTTTTTTTAATAGTAATAGAGATGTAGCCATGTTAGTCTGGTCTTGCTGAAACAAAAAGTTTTTTTTTAAGTTTCTCTTACAAAAAAAATCTAAATTTTATTTCAAATAGCAACTGTAAAATAATTGCCTGATGGAGAGAAAAGCTACTTTAATGGAATTAAACTACTTTAATTCCACAGTATTTTACAAACTTGGTTAGCTTTTTACCAAAATACAGTATTTTTGCATGTGACAATGTATCAGTCAATGTTTATATAACAAGATCTAGGCATAAAATTGTCTGTTTGTGTTATATACTGATCTTTTTAATTCCTGAAGATATCCTTATGTTGACTTCTTTTGAAAGCTCACTGCAGTGCATGGAATTCAGTCTGCTTTTGATGAAGCCATGTCATACTGCCGATATCACCCTTCCAAAGGCTACTGGTGGCATTTCAAAGACCAGGAGGAACGAGGTATGATGCCTGGACCCTCAGTACATTAAGCAATTTCCCTTTCTTTGGATCTAACACGTACATTTGTAGCCAAGGTATACTTTAGCTAGAGACAGAAGTGTGGGGAGAAACAAAATAAATGAAGGAAAAGGTCAAGGCAACACAAAAAAATTATGGCCTGGGGTAGTCTAGGAGAATATTTAACCTTGTATCAACTGTGCGGGCAAGAGAGCATTGAGCCCAAGGAATTCCAAGGGACATGTTTTGTGGTTGGACTTTAATTTGACCAGAGGGTGAAACTACTGTATCAGATGGGAGACTGAAACACTAAGGGTACGTCTAGACTACAGGGTTTTGTCGACAGAAGTTTTGTCGACAGATACTATCGACAAAACTTCTGTCGACAAAGAGCGTCTACACTACATCCAGTTCTGTTGACAAAGCAAGCCGCTTTGTCGACATAACAGTTTGGACACAAAGGACAGTGTAGATGCAATAATGCCTTCTATCGACAGAACTCTGTCGACAAAAGGCGTTATTCCTCGTAGAATGAGGTTTACATACGTCGACAAAACTGATGAGTTTTGTCGACGTTATGTCGACATAACTCAAAGGCAGTGTGGTATAGTTTTGTCGACAAAAGTCCACTTTTGTCGACAAAACCCTGTAGTCTAGACACACTCTAAGTTACTGTATTATAAGGGAGAAGACTGCAGTGCAAAGAAGAGAGAGATAAAAATGGGGGAAACTGAAGAATGGTCAGATTCAGCATTAGAAAGAACAACTTTCTACAGGAACAAAGAGCAGATAAACGAGAACTAGACTGTCCATCATTTGATGTGATATACCATTTCAGCCTCTGTATATGATTTGCAGATAAAACCAAACCAAAAGCCAAGAAGAAGGAAGAACCAAGCTCTATTTTCCAGAGGCAGCGGGTCGATGCTTTGCTTCTAGATCTGAGGCAAAAATTTCCACCCAGATTTGTTCAGGTAATAGTACTTTGTGTCTGAAGTGTTACTGCAGCATACAGATCAGGACTCCTCAGGTGGACTTCTTGTGGGACTTCACTGTGCTAGGTAGAATGGTAGCACTGATCGGAATAGGAATTTTGAAAACAACAGGTTTTCATGTTGAATGAAGAGGATTCTCCAGAACAAATGAAGGAGTTACCCCAAAACATGTGGTGTAGCTTTGTAAAATTGCCATGAAAATTTACAAATACACATGGATCAGGGTTTAAAATCTCATCAGGTATCAGACCCTTCTGGTGCTTTAATTTCCTTACTATCTTAGCCAAATAAAACTGACACAGCTGATGCTTTGTATTTACTTTCTCTTTCTGGTTACTGGTTTACTATAACATAAAACAGCTCAACCAGAAATTCTCAGCCTTCTTCTAATCAAGATGCTCACTAGTTCATTTTATCCCTATCAAGAGCTTTGCTCCTGACCTTGCTGCACATAGGTCCAGTCTGGCCTTTTTCTCCTGCTGCTATGAAGAACTTTTTGGATTACCTGTAGGCACTTCCCTCTAGGGCTCTCTCTTACTCTCCCAGACCCTCTGTCTGGGATCTAAGAGTCTTCCTGTGTAGAAACAGCTCCCATAACCTCCCTGCTCATTTGTCTCTCTCTTAACTCAGCAGGCTCATTGAATTCAGACTAATGTCCCTAACATCCCCAATCATGCACCGATCATGTTGACCCCTGATTAATTCCATTCATTTGGGGAGGTGGCCTAAGTCTGGCATCACAGCAGTGAGCCTCAGTCTCCTTACAGGTCCATCTTCCCTGTGATACTAAATTAAAATTCTACTTGCCCACTTATTACAAAGATGACTAAAGGGGGGAGAACATACTAGGCAATTTATTTGCCCGTTGAAAAAAAATTACTCCCTCTCACAGGTAGAACTTATGCAGAGCTGGCATGGTGTCTGACACTGTCAGTTTAAGGGGACATGGTAAATGTTATATGAAAGTTGGTGATTCAATAGTTGGGAGATTCTTCCCTGTGAGTTAGTAATGAACCAGTATCTTAGCAGTGTGGTGGAAACCCTATACTGGTGGTGAGAACTACCATCACTTGCATTAAATATAAAGTATAAGGGTCTTTTAGTTAGGTACTTTTTGCAAGATCCATGTTGTTAGCCCCACCAGGCTGACTGAATTCCATTGTGAATAAATACTTTCCCCACACATGTATAGTGGATTCTTCTCTTCCTGTTCTAAGCCATCATGGCCACATTCTGTGTAGAAACAGTGGCATTTTATCTGTTGGTGAAGTAATTCCTGTAAGGAACTCTGGGATCTTTTGTCATCAAATGCCCAATAGAGAAGTAAAGATACACTATGAAGTACAACAGTTCAGGACCAAAATCTGACCTATTGTTTAAATAGTTCTCAGTTGGGGAATCATTCTTTGGAGTCTACATACATATTTAATTCCCCTTCTTAAACTTACCACTCAGTCAAGAAATTACAAAAAAGACTGTGTTTCTGTAAGATCTAAAAATAAAATCCTTTGACATCAGCAGATCAAGGCATTCTATAAATGCAAAGTCTCTTGCAAAAGATAGGTATAATGCCCATATACCAAGGAATAAAATGATGTGCAGAGAAGTCAGATAACTTGTCAAATGTCAAACAGCTAGACAGGGACAGGGATAGAAGATATATGTTGTCTCCTAGTCTATTGTTCTCATTGCTTCATCTATTGTCCCTTCAATAGTTCATCTTCAACATCTTCATCTGTTGTCCCTTCAATAGCAGATTCTGAACAATCGTCTCAAAACTGTTCTAAAATAATATTATTGACGCACACACAAATAAGGAAATGCACAGCAAAAATAGACTTTCCTGACTTAGCAACATGTGTTTAAATATCCAAGGCTACGGGTGAGCTATTGCCGTTATGCACTCAGATGCTATTTTGCCTAGTCTCTGCAATGGCTAGTTCCTTACACATTACTAAAACATTCTGGAATACTTTGAGTAAAGCAAGAACTATGTCAGATCAGATTCTAATCTACTTCCAAATTCAAATATTTTCAGATACTGTGGGAGGGGAAAAAAAATCAGTGTTTGCTCAATGGAAAAGGAAAACATTGGTGGGGAAGTGCATTTTAATTCTTAAAGTGGTATTCAAATATAATAATGCCTTCATTGCAATTGTCAAACAAAGATCTAAGAATTTTATAAAAATTAACTAATTAAGCCTTACACCATTCCTGTTAGGAAGGAATCACTTTAACCACAACTGAAATGTAGCCACCTCTAGAGTGGGATGTAAGTTAGTTGCAGCACTTCTGTACAACATTTTTCAGAAAGAAATGAAGAATATTCATCCTGCCCGTTGCTTTACTGTTTCGTCTGATAGAATCACTGCAAAGAGTGGCAAGAGTGCAGGCAAATAAATAAAATTATAAAAAAAAATTAGTCATAGTTGAGGCTTGAGCAGATAGTGAGCATAATTTATATAGGATGTCCTGTGAACTTTGATATGCAGGTACCTAAACTTCAGCAGCAAGACATCTAAAAAATAATGTATTGAATCACTGTTACACTGAAATGTGCTAATGGCTGTCATCAGGGGAGGTTAGGGTTCTAGGACATTTTAAAGCCAAAGGATGTGTCCTGGAGTGTGCCCAAGCCAATATGCATGCCAGGTCAGAGCTAAGCCATGGGAAATGAGGGGCTTCACTGATTGCAAATGCAGAGGCTTGGAAGTTGTTTCACAAGGTTCCTGTGTTTGAGGGAAAAAAAATAGCAAAAGGAGTTATGATTGTGACCTTGAGAGAAAGCACAAGAGGATAGCTTGCTGGAGTGACTTACTTGGGGATTTCTGAGCAACGAAGCATCCTGCTGTTTACTGTATTCCTATTCATGGAAACAGGACTTTGTGCACATTTTTTTTAAATAAATAAGGATACACCAAAAGCATATCTGACTTACATCACTGACTTATCCTAGCTGAAACAACCCTGCAAAGTGCCAAATATTAACTAATTGCATGGGCCTAAAGGGTAGCTCTAGATTCAGATGGACTTCATTCATTTCCTGTTCTTTACAAAATGTTGTTATCTTTTGTGCTGCTGGATTTGCAGATTTCTTGAGCCATATTTTACAGCCAAGGAAAACGGGCATTAATGACTGGGAGGAGATAAGGTTCTTGGCATGACTGGAGAATAAAACATTTAATTTTTTTGTGCTCTTAATTTTACATACGGTTTAAAATGTAATTAGTACTTCTGGAAGACTTGCTTGTTACTCTTCTCTTGTTTGACATCACCATGATGTTCCCATTCACGTGGGGCCATCCTTCAAAGCAAAAGATATAATTTTAGTCAGTGTGAGCAAAAGAAAATAATTACAAAGCTCTAGTTCATATGACTTTCTTTTCTTATTTTTTGATAGCAAAAACCCGGAGAAAAGCCCATTGCAGGTAAGAGATCTCACCTTATAACAAAATTTTTAAAAGAAGCCCAAATCCAGTTTGATATAGGTTCAGTTGTGAGGCTAAACTTAACTAATCAACTCACTCCGGCTGAAAATATTGGGTGTCCCATCCCATCCTTAGCTTTCTGAAGACTGTCCCCAGTGTAAGAGGCCTCCCATCTCTAAGGGAGCTGCTAAGGTAAGAGGCTCCAAAACAGGAGATCCTCTTGAGGAGAGGAAAGGCCAGGTTGGTTCTGCATCCTGGTGATTTTTGCCCTAAGCCTATTGCAGCAGGGCTGCAAGCTAGGACATCCAAAGGTCTGCCTGAGAGAATAAACAAACAAGCTGAAAATAACTTTGGAAGAATTGAAAATAAGAAATGTAAAACCCTTAAGGCAGAGTTACAATTTATTTTGATGGTTTGTTTTTTATTAAGTGGATCAGATCAAGAAGGAGCCGGAACCAGCCCCAGAAGCTATAAAACCAGAGGAGAAGGAGGCAGTAAAGAATGCCCAACAGAGCACTGCTAAAGGGCCCCCAGAGAAACGGATGAGACTCCAGTGAAAGGATGGACTGTTCCACATCTAGATGATTCAAGGTCTGGAGAAGAATTTGCAAGAGAGTCCTGTTCCCAATCATCTGTATTTGGACATGGCAGGATTGTGACATGGCAGGATTTATAGCTTCTTGCAACAGCTTCTTCTCTCAGCAGAAACCTATTATAAAGCAGTCAATGGAAAGACTTGAGCTGCACTGAGAGGGTTTTTTCAGCCTTCTCCCCATTTCAGATGTTAGCTACTGCCTGAATTTCACACTAGGTGCATTTTGCAACTTTTTTATAAAGCCATATCTCTTTTCATGTCCTCTGGTAGTTGTTTTCTATGTAATAAGAGGAAGTTTTTTAATAAAATAAGAGTTCTTGACACACCAGCATTTGACTGTTGACATCCTTTCTTACTCTCTTGATAGCATATTCAGTAGCCATTTCATATGCAAATGTATACTGATGGTAGATTTAGGACAAACTCTGATATTATGCATGTTAACCTTGCTTGAGAAAAGTGAATGTGTCCTGTGTCATTAAAGGAGTCTGTCTGCTCTGCCTGTTAGAATGCTGGTATATAAAGATCAAAGATTTGATAACTGCACTGTGGAATTCATATAATTAGATGACAACCTTCAGTTAGCTCTCATGTTCTCATGGGTAGGATGTATTATGGGTCCTGGCAATAAACCTTGAATACCACAGCAAACCCTCATGTATTTTATTTGCACTTTATATTTTTGTTCCAACCCCCATTTTCCTTTCTCATTTTCTCATTTCAAAATACATTAGTTACTATGGAAACAATTAGAATGGGTGAAGCTTACTGACAACACCACTACTTTATACCATGACTTAAGACGTAGTTTGTGGCTACTAATGGAGTTAGTTTTTTCCTGCCTGTGTATGGTATAAAATGTATATTCTATCTTCTGTCTAGATTGGATATTCTTCTTTTATTTACCTATTTGGTTCTGCTACAGACTAAAAGTGATTGCTCTTGGCAGCTTTTGAATCCCATCATACAATGTAAATGCCTGTATTATATCAATGTAAACAAATTACAGTACCTTTTTAAGGCTTTTATGTTCACTGCTAGCATCCAATGATGCTGAGGTTATTATTTTGCTTGAAAGCTATACTGTTACATAAGGGTCCAGTAAAAGCCACGCTATTGTCTACAGTGTTAACACTGGGAAATTGTCCTATCACTGACTCTCTTGTTTGCCTGCAGCAATTTAAGTAAGTTAGGATGAGGGCCGATATAGCTTCTTGCTTGATCTCCGGTGGAAAGGTCTCTTAATGAAAACAAAAATAAAAGACAGGAAAGACATCTGAAGAAAATTTTGCCTTGACTCCAGATTTGAAACATTCCTAAAATCTGCAAGGGTTAATTAGCAAATCCTCTGGGCATTCTAGGATAGATGTGTGCATTAATTATTGTAAGTGAACAATGAGATGGAAAAGGACATATAGTAGTAGCTATCTTCATTGTATGAAAAAGTCTGTATGTGCATGACTTAAAATGTTTTGTGTTCTGCAGTGAGATTCCATTATAATGCATGCAGGTGAGCAAGTGTTGTCATAAGTGTTGTCCAAAAAGTAACTTGGTTTATGGACATTTTTGTTTTCTTATTCTTCGCCTGATGGGAGTAGATTCTCTCCCTTACAGCTAGAGTCCTGCGTATTTCCTATATCCAACCTCCTGCAACTCTATAGTCTCCCACCTTCCTTTTCATCTCTCTTTTTCCTTCAAAACAAGGTCTCATGTCTTAACTACTATTGTAAAGGCCAGACTGGACTAAAAAGGAATCTCTCTGAAGCCTGTCAGTGTTGCCCTTAAAGGTTAAAACCAAGGTACTACAAGGTTACATGCTAGATTTTGTTGTTTAATAATCTGGAAGATGGGTGAGTAGAGAGTTATGAAGGTTATTTGTTTGTTAGGGCCAGAAAGGAACTTTAAAGAAAACTTATCAAGCTAGGGGTATGGGCAGCACATTGGTAAAGGGAATGCAAAATCCCATTTGAAATGTTAACTGGTTAAACTATATGTTTAACCAGCCCAGTGCAGTGCAGTGGTCCAGGCCAGGCGCACGATGCGGGGAGAGGGGAGCTGCTTTGGATCAGCTGGGCTGGAGTGTCGCCCTGCCTGTGGCATGGCACAGTGAGCCCAGCTGGGCTGCAGCAGCCCCCTGCCCATAGCATTCCACAGGCAGAGGCTGCTCCAGCAGGATTGGGCTCCAGTTAACCACTTCTTTATATCCCTGTCTAGTAAATGAAGTTCATTGCTGATAAATGCAAAAGCAAAACCCATTGTGGGGGATGAAATAGAGGGTCTTCAAATAAGAGACATGAGAATGATTTGGAGCCTAGGAAATCTCTCATAGGATGTGATATTGAAAACACCAGAATTGTTTACCTTAGAAAGCTAGTATATAAGGGACTTGACAAAAGTATATAAAATAACTGATGTAGAGAAGATAAATCAGAAACTTCTGCTCCCTCTGTCTCCTAACACAAGAACAAAGTGACAATAAAAGCAGTCAGTCAAAAAGTATTATTTAACCTCATGCATCATGTTTTAAGCTGATCTCTAATGTAGAGATAGGCAGAAACAGAAGGAGTTTGGGGGGAAGAGCAGACTATCCCATATTTGCCTACTATTGGAATCACTTCTTCTGACGTATCTGGTACTGGCCACTGTCAAAAGAGGGATCCCAGATTAGAAGGAAATCTGGTCTCATCTAGCATGGTAACTCCTATGTCACAGTTTAATAACAAAAGGCACTTGCTACCTATGTGAGATGTTCTCCAATAATATTTGTTTTCCCTTTTATCCAAGAAACAAAGCACAGTGGAACCCTAAATTAAATTAGTGTCACGACAGCTGCATTTATCCCTGTATTTTCTTCCTCCTAGCCACAGATGCTGGCCTGCCATTCTGCTCCTTTATTTCTGGGTTGGAGTGAAATGTATATGGCTACATTGAAAGATATGATATGGGGGAGTACTAATTGTTTTTCCTGCTGTTTTCATTTACCCTGATGCATCCTGAGCTATCCAACCTCACTATACCTAGAGGGAGTACCTAATTTACAGTGCCAGCATCTAAGCTCCTGAAGGGCCAATTAATTATTGGAATTTACAAGCCTGGTAATATCCGGGAGTCAGAGTGGCATGGCCATTATATGAAAACAGATGCTTTTAAAGAATGTTCACGGTCTGAAAAAGTGTACTTTATATTAAAGCACAAGGGGAAACTACTAGTGAGAGCTTCCATTTCTTAGCCAATGACTTTCAGTAATCCAAAAGTGAGGTTAACTTGTCAAAATTCTAATTAAATCTTTTCAAACCCTATTACTCTTGTTCAAATCATCCCCCAAAATTATTTTACCAAGTAAACTGGTATTTGTTATGAACTTTTTTGAATGACATTAAATGAGAGAGTGCACTTAAACTCCCAATAATGTACTTTCAAACAACGATGTGGCATTGTCTCTCTTCTTTTGTCTGTGATTTTTTTAGTGTGAGATTCTTTGTATGGTATCTATAACCTATCAGTCTGGTGTTTGTTACAAAATGAGAGATCCTTGAGCCGGCATTCAATATTTATAATGTCACAAAGTGTTAACAAAATGAGCAAGTAGCTCCAGAATACAGGCAGTCCCTGGGTTACGTACAAGATAGGGACTGTAGTTTTGTTCTTAAGTTGAATTTGTATGTATGTCGGAACTGGTACATATTGTAGGGGAAACTCTAGCCAAACATTTCTCCAGAGCTCAGTTTTATTCTCCCACACCTCACTTCCCTCAGTCCTTTATTCTCAAGCTGAGGTGTCTGCTGAAAAAAGCTGCTCCGCGTCTCCCTGGTCTGCCGAGGGGAAGCAGCTAGTGCGGGGTTGCCTCACCCCATTTGTAAGTAGGGATCCGATGTAAGTCGGATCCATGTAACCCGGGGACTGCCTGTATGTTTTGTCACCTTGTGTGTTTCTCATGAAAGACGAGAGCTATATAGCAGATCTATGATCCCTGTTTTTGTTCACTATGCTCTTAGGTAATGTCAATTCAGATTTAAGATTTCCAAATCTTAAATGACTATTTTAGCACAATAATCATTTTGAGGGCTAAGCAATATGAAATTGAAGTCTAGTGTATTTAATTGAGTGTCTGTCTTACTGAATATATCAGAGAACTGGAGGAATCCTTTTTACAGACATTACTGTGATAAAATAAGGCTAATGGATTCTGAAATGCAGCTGAAATAAAAATTGATAGTTGTAATATTTTTCATAGATTAATGGGAGCTGCATATTTTTTTCCCAACCCTTCTAGAAGTTCTCTAGAATCACCTATAATACATCTTAGAAACCTCTGCCAGGCAAGGGAATTTAGGAGCTCGCTTCCTCCACAGTCTGTTAGCTGTCAAAGCATGTTATTGCAGACCAGGTGTAAGCTTCCCTTTCTTTTCCCTCAAACAAACTTAGCCCTAGGAAGAATAACATTTGTATCTCTGCTTCTCACATTGGTCACTAGGGGTATGTCTACACAGCAGTATTATTTTGAAATAACTAGCATTATTTCAAAATAACTTAGTCTGTATCTACATAGCAGGCAGTTATTTCAAAATACTGTTGAAATACTGTCAACCTGGAGGACTTCTTACTCCAACTCCTATAACCTTCATTGTACGAAGTGTAAGGGAAGTCAGAGGAAGAGTGCTCTATTTCGAAATAAGTGCTGTGTAGATGCTCCCAATTTCAAAATAAGCTACGCAATTAAAGTAGCTCAGTTTGTGTAGCTTATTTCGAGTTAAACCCTGCTATGTAGACACACCAGAAAACCAAATCTACAAAAATAGTTATTAACTCTATATCCAAGCATGCAAGTTCTCCGTTAAATGAAACAGATGACATATAATATGCAAAACCATGGTTTCTAGTATTTGAAGGGAAAATAACAGAGGTTAATTCCCCCCCCCCCTCCACATCTGACAAACAAGTGTATGTACAGATGTAATGAATGAAAATATAATCAGTTTGGGGTATTAAAATAAGAATGAGAGCCTTCCCTAAATAGACAGTTGGAATCTGAACAAAAGCTTTAATGTGAGACTGACTCATCCTTCATATTTTTTCCCCTCAGGAGCATATTTTACCTACATGCTTTCTTCTAGCCCCCCAAATAAGAGATTTTCTTGATATGGTAAGGCATCAAGGTAGGATAAAAGTGAAAATATTTTGCTACCTATGGAAATATTTTATAAATAGACTTCACAGTATAGGTTCTGCTTCATTTTATGTATTGCACTTATCACTATGTAGCTGACAGATATGTTTTAAAGGGGGGAGAACATGTTTTTTCTTTTTAATTCCCTGAAACTTGAAGTCATAACAGGTTTCGAAGGCTTAAGTAATTCAGCCAGCAGTTAGGGATCTATTTCTAGAGTGAACGTGAGGTTCTGTGGCCTCCAATGTGCATGTCAGACCAAGGCCCTTCTAATCTCATCTTCAAGTCTGAGAGTCTGTAATCTAAACACAATTATGTAATCTCTTTGATATGACCTTGGTATCGAATGATTTACTGTAAATGCTCAAGAAAATAACATCATGAACTATTACTCATCTGCACATGGATCAGTACCAAACATTTAATCAGCTATGAGTTCAACAGCTGAAGTAATCTACTGTGTTATAGGTAGGCATATATTAAAGTGCGGCAGAAAGCATCTTTGCAGATAATGCATCCCACCAATTTGGCAGAAGGCTTTAACAGAGACTCTGAGAACTTTATGAGAGGCTTTACCTAAAAGAAAAATTAATTTAAAGAGTACTAGACAGACTTCAGTACAGGTTACATGGTTAAATAATAAGATTTTACTATATTATAGGTGCTGTGATCTGAGTTATCTTTACTCCAGAATACACATTCTGACATCATTCTCAATTCTGATGTAGGAAAGGGGTAGTAGTGGAACAACCATTCAGATGCTGGGACCTAAGTGGAAATAGAGAGGCACAGTCCCCTGCTCCTCCTGTCCCCCCAGGTCCCTGCCCCATGCAGAAGCCAGATTTAGGCAGTGGTAGGAGCACCTCAGTGAATACAGGGTACTCTGGGGAGCCCGAGACTCTCCAACTCTGTTATGGGAGTGCCAAGGTCCCCAAGAGCAGTTGTCCTGCCATTCTCCATGGCAAGGGATCACCTCAGCTTCCCCAAAGTTTCATCCCTGCTCCACCTCTTTTATCTAGGCACCAACTCCTTCTCTGCTTTTTTTCCCCGTAGGGCCCATCACCATTGGTGGATCCTCTTGCCCTACCCTCGGGTGGACCGTGCATCCTATTTTGGCTGGAACAGTCCCCTTTTCAAGACATGTCCTGGCCATCCTGACTTTTTTGGCAGAAGTGGGCATCTATCCCATTTTATTCTTGCCAACTGATGATCAGTTGGTAAGAGCAAACTGGACAAATGCATAGTTTTGCCATGAAAGTCAGATAGAACTCCTAGGTGTGCATGGAGGAATGTGCTGGGTGTAGGGGTGATTGGCAACACCAGCTCTGCATGGGCAGGAGGATTTGGGAGAGTTCCTTAGGTCAGTCCTGTGGGCGGATTGGAGAGGGGCTTGGACAAGCCCCACATGCAGGTAGGCAGCAGACTTGGGCCCGCCTCGTGTGGGCAGCAGGAAAGCCTCAGGCCAGGCAGGGAGGATGGGGAATATCAGGTTGATCCCTTACACTGTCCCATTTTCCATACTGTTACCCTATCCTACTCCACTTCATTCACTTGATTGTCTCAAGGTCCATGCCTGCCTGCAGGAAGTGCCAGGCAGCCTTGGATGTTGCTGTTTAACGACCTGGCCCTGATGCACTGGACTTTTGTTTCAGGTGTCATTTAGGATTGCCTGGGTTTAGTGCCCCAAGCTAATGAAATGTGAAATTCTAGGGGGGAGAAAAAGTCTTGAAAGGTAGATTTTTAAGGAGAGTCTCACCCATTCAACAATATAATGTCAAAATCCAAAATTACAAATAAATCAGAAAGCAGCAACCACTACAGTTAGTCCAAAGGAGTAATAAGTCAGGTGTAGATATGGATACATGTATGAAGATGCTGGTGCATTGCTGAAGAATTGGGCTGGGTCTAGACTGGCAAGTTTTCCCGCAAAATCAGCTGTTTTTGTGGAAAAACTTGCTAGCTGTCTACACTGGCGGCTTGAATTTCCGCAAGAACACTGACTTCCTACTGTCTGAAATCAGTGCTTCTTGCGGAAATACTCTGGTGCTCCCGTTCGGGCAAAAGTCCCTTTTGCGCAAAGCTTTTGCGCAAAAGGGCCAGTGTAGACTGCTCAGATTTGTTTTGCGCAAAAAAGCCCCGATCACGAAAATGGCGATCGGGGCTTTTTTGCGTAAAAGCACGTCTAGATTGGCACGGACACTTTTCTGCAAAAAGTGCTTTTGTGGAAAAGCGTCCGTGCCAATCTAGACGCGCTTTTCCACAAATGCTTTTAACAGAAAGCTTTTCCGTTAAAAGCATTTGCGGAAAATCATGCCAGTCTAGATGTAGCCTTGCTGTATATGGTGTCACCACTGTGCCCAATTAATGCCTGGTTTAAAACAACTGACTGTACTCTTGAGTTGCCCTGGAGGTTAGGTTAATCCATTGTTTCATAGGTGCTGGAACTAGAGGTGCATGGGATGCTACTGTATTCTCTTGATTTGAAATTAATTGCATTATATACCAGGCTTGCACGAGTCTAGATGTAGCCTTGCTGTATATGGTGTCACCACTGTGCCCAATTAATGCCTGGTTTAAAACAACTGACTGTACTCTTGAGTTGCCCTGGAGGTTAGGTTAATCCATTGTTTCATAGGTGCTGGAACTAGAGGTGCATGGGATGCTACTGTATTCTCTTGATTTGAAATTAATTGCATTATATACCAGGCTTGCACGATTCAATGGCTCTGAGCACCCTCCCCCCCCCCCCCAATCCTCCCCCCCC